TCATATGGTTAAAAGGGCGGTGCCAATTTTCTTCCAGAACTTTAGCTAACAACTGACATCTAAAATACTCCCACAGACAAATTTGGCTATAGAACGTTTGTTTATACCTAATTTACAACTTTACAACTTTAGATAACTCACATGGGCACTATCGGAAATGTTAGATGGTCTACCATTATAAAGGTTACAGGATAACCTTCTTGGCGTTTTGCGGAAAATCGCTACTGCGCGGGCAAAATCAGTCCGATTTTCATCAAATTTTTACCAAATGTTCGCCAATTCATGAAAAATATAGTAAAATTGTAAAATTGACGAACAATAAGATAATGTAAGAATTATTCAGGAAAATCTTAAATCGCGGTACCTTTACGCTTTTGAGTCATGTTCTTGCTGGTTTTAAGATATATTTATGAAAATATCATTTTTATACAGTAAAATAGTTGTTCTAACAAATAGTGTTCGGAATTTTTTGTTTATTTCGTGATTCCGCTGATATGGCGATTTCTTTGACGACTGAAATATATTTCTGAATCGTTTGTGTAAATTACTCCTTGGCTTATTATTAAAATATCCAAAATTAGAAAAAAGCCGAACACAAATTTTGTACTGTGTGAAAATTTGAGAAAAATTCGTTAAAACCCGCAGGAGAACAACTCGTTTGAAAATCGGAAACTGCCATAAAATTCTGATGGAGAAAATTGAATTATTTTGAATACTACATTTTCAATGTTTTTCATATTGCAGCGAAATCTATTGTATATATTAAATAACTCTGCAGCAAGTTTTCAACCTTTTCCATTCAAAGTTGGCCGTCAGATAATAGAACTAGTCTAATGCTTTCATGGAAACCACTAAAAAAGTTTAGGCAAAATTAACACTCAAAGGTGTTCTGCAACCTTAAAAGGGAACAATGAATAAAGGGAAAAAACTGTAACTGTAATGGGGGGGGGGGGTGAATAGGGGTATACAAAACCGCCGATCCGCCCAAATTTGAAGCAAAATCCGCGATCCGAGCCACAATATTAGATAAATCCGCAATCTGCTGTATTAATAAGATCCGAAATCCGTGTAAAACATTCGCCAGATCCGAAATCCGGACAATTTTTTCTGTGAAATCCGACGATCCGAAAACCTATTCAACCCCCCCCCCCCAGTAAGAGCAGATTTGTATGTGTTTATCGCCAAATATCGCACAATTTACCAAGCATTTTTACCTCAATGTTGTCTATTAACACATTTTTGAGGGCGCTCCAAAATAATGCTGATGTCAGCAATTTTGATCTTTTCAATGGGAATTAAATTCAAAATTTTGGCGGAATGTTTGTAGTAATGACAGGCAAAACATATGAAACACCCAGTTTTGTGACTCTTGCTCAAATTTTTTCTGATTTCAAGTGTAACTCAAGAATTGTGTGGTGTTCATCTGGGATTTCAATTTGTTCCCCATTACCGCGCTCCCAAATTTCATCTTCGATGCCCCCTTTAGTGTTATATATTCATAATCTCTATGCTTTTTCTTTCTATCCACCCGCATCTAAGGAAGGGAAAACGGGGCCCCGATACTCAGCTGGTAAGATATACTTAGCCTTAAGATAAAGTACATAATATTAATGATTTGTTCAACTTCTTTTCAACGCAGATAAGGAGGCACCATCACTTTTGGATACAGTTCAAGATAGCAGAGCCTCTGCCAGTGACAGCAAGACTGACGTACAGGCTTCCAGCACAAATTAGAAAACTCTGAGACGAAATAAAAAACAAACAATATGTACTTTTATTAATGTTAATCAATTCCACAAAAGTTGTGTCGTTTTCATGTTTATCAACTTTCAAGATATGTTCAATTAGCAATGCAATCATGTCAAACCGGCCTAAAGTGTACTGAATCATTAAAACGTGCAATTTACTTTTAAACTCTTACGCAGTTATTCTATTTCACAACAAACACTATGTTCATTTGTATATACTAAATTCTAAATAATTATTCATTTACATATAATTTTATAAATTCAATCTATTCTTAGTATCAGAAACAATTATATCTAGGGTGGCGTCAGAGGGGTGAGGGGTACAGCAACTTGTCGGGGAGGCTAGCCCCTACCCCCCTACCCCCGGTCAAGGAAAAATTAGTATTTTGTCGGGGAAAAGATTGTTAAACAGACTGTTGAAGACATTTGTATTCTAGCATGCATGGTATCCTCAAGATGTTGGATTGGATACACCGTTTCACAGACTCAAAATTCAAAACAAAATTTGAGGAAGCGTGCCTTTCCCTTCCTCCCCCCTCCTGGAAAAGGTTTTTGCCTGTACAATCTTAGCCCCCTGTCGGGGACCTTAGCTCCTTTATCGGGAAATTCCTTGCGCCACCAAAAATTATGTACTGTTAATTAAGCATTTTAAGACTAAAAATCAGTCAAGAAATTAACCTCCATGGAAGTACACTGACTCCTTCCATTTTCATAACTGATGTTATTTTTTGAAGACTCAGTGTCATCATTCTGTTATTCAATTACCTCCACTTTAATTTCCCCACTAGTTTCATTGGAACTGTGAACTTTCAAAACACGTTTCAGTTTCGACTTCAAGGCAATGGCGTTCGTCGCTTTTTGCTCGTCGCTATTCTTTGTCCAAACGAAGTCGAAAATAATCGGTAATGTAGTGGCGGCCATAGAAGCAATTATTTGAACACTGCTTGTGATACCGGATTTCTCGGACAATGACATCATTGTGTATAAAAAGTAGGCGAAGACTGTAACAAAGAATATTCCCAGAAAATAGTAAAACAGAATTCGATGGTACGGCAGGAACTTTTTCCTGACTTTATCATACAGCGTTTTTAGAATAATTGGTTCTCCATCATCGTTTAACTTTATACCAGGCTTAGTTTCAGCGTCGTTAGCATTTTCATATTTTTCCACTCCTGATTGAACGGGCGTAGCGTTTTCATTTCTTTCCCTTCCAGAGTTAGCGAGAGCAGTAGATTGAACAGGTGTACTTTCTTTGCAAACTTCGTAAATGGTCGTGATTAGTACCAAGTATTTTGTTTCGACCGAAGACTTCCAATTAGTCCAGGAATAAAACAAGATGGTGGAAAGTGGCAAAAAATAATTAATGAAAGTTTCTCCGTTCAGAAACAGACCAATGATAAATAACAACGAAGAACCAAAGACGCTCATGGAAGAATACGCAAGTAGCCCGAAAACAATGACGCCATAAATAAAACGGAGTAGATTTTTTATTTTTGTCCAATGACTTGACGAATTTGTCCGTGTACAAAATGTCCAAATACATTTAAAGAAATACAATAATGCAAGACAACATGAAAACGGGAAAGCGATTACAAGATACACAAAGAATAAAATAAAAAATTTTATACGGTACTTCCATATTTCAACTCTTTTCGGGTGATGTTGTGGGGAGTGTTGCTGTACCTGTGGCTTTGATGATCTAGTAGGCTCGGTAATTTCAGTTGACTCGGCTCTATTTAATAATTCAGTATGCTCTGTCATTGTAGTTGACTCCCTATTTGGTAATTTAATTAATGCAACATACTCTTTCCTTTCAGTTGACTTGCTTTTTAAATTTAACTTTTTAGTAAAGTCTTTAATATTGAAACTTGGCCATTGCTGACAGACCTTCTCCCACAATAATGTTAAACTAAATGGCCAAGTAATAACCTCTAATGCGGATTTTCCAAAGACATTCAGAGCGAAATGATCACTTTGAAATTTGCGAGTGCCGTATATATCGAAAATCATAAAAGGAAACATCCATAGACCTAGGAAGATATACCAGAATATAGTCCATATAGTTAGACCAATATTCCGTATGGGTAAACATATCACAAATACCAAAATTACAATTAACAGTTTCCTTGTAAAAGACTTAATTACTGGACCACGCCCTTCGATAAATATCATATGAAATATGTACGAAAGTGCCATTGGACTATCGGAAATCGTGTAATAGTCGCTATCCTTAAACCGACTTAAATAGTCTACTATTAAAGGGAACGCTAAATAAAGGGAAAAAACTGTAACTGTAATGATTGGATAAAGATGTGCCACAAATGACGAATAGTAAGAGCAGATTCGTATGTGTTTATCGCGAGATATCCCACAACAATTCAATGCAAGGTTGTGGATGCGACACAACTGATAATCGGTGTTATCATCACTCACACGATAAAGCTGACGCAGAAGAAGATCGAAAATGGCATGATCCAATGTATTGTTTTCCGACAACAAACACTTTTCGTTTTCTTCAAAGACAACAATGTTCACATCATGAAACCCTGTAGTCAATGTAACTTCTGGCAGAAATGAAATCAGAGACTGTAGGTTTCTTGTTTCAAGTATTAACGAGTATAATGTACGACCTATTTCGTTTGCCCAATGCATGTCTGTTAGGACTCGAGTTTTATTCATGAGAGTCATAGTATCATTGACCGATTCAATCCAGACATTCAGTTTTATTACATTCGTTTTGCTATTGAGCATTAATTTTAAGACACTTTTAAGTGATGATTCTAAAATGTGAAAATGGCAAGCAGTCGAAGTGTTGCTCGAGTTTGTCATACTCTTTCTTGCAATGAATCCAATCTCGTCGTTTCTGGAAGCCTCTGGCTCTGAGTCAGCCGATTCGGTGATTTCTGGCAAACACGCAATTATTACAAACAGTATTAATACTTTGGCAAACAAAGTCATCTTTACAAGCAACGAATTCACACTTCTTGGAAAAAGGTTTCTAAAAAAGTATATACAATGTTCAATTAGAGAATGCATTCTAAGTTATATCATGATCTATTTTTTTAAAAGCAGCGTTTCTGAGTCAATATATTTTCTGCACAAATGCTTTCAAAAAACAACGTTGCATTCGAAACAATATTTTTTTCTTGTTTTTATTCTTGTATTTTAAGAAACCGCTTGTTATCAAATTACACATCGCTCGCTCAACATACAGATATCTGCTGGCTAGCAGCCACACAGTAGAATATACAGTATGTCTCAGGTTCTCTTCGGATATAGCCTGCGAACAGGCTCTCAAGCTGAATTGAGAGCCTGCATCGATGACTAATGAATTTGAATATCTGCGTCTCAAATCGTGACGCGAAATTCTCATTGGTCAGATGCTATAATTTATATGTTTCCGCTGAGCTC